ATACATTCATTTGAATTTATTAGCAAACTACTAGAAATACAAAAAATAAAAAACAAACCTCACCCAAACCCGCCATCTTCCACATTTATACTTTTGTGGGCAAAACTTTGGCATCTGGGAACCAAACTTAGCATATCTGGACATTGCACTATTTTTAAAAAAAATGATAGCTAATGATTTCAAAAAAGGACCAAGTGACAAGATAAATGCACTGGCTTGGATTGGCAGGGGGTCCTACATGGATTAAAAGTATTTTATTTCTCGTGTCAGATCAACCAGTCAGTTATATTACATTTCTACCAGAACAAAGCAAACAAACAGACAAAATACAACATTTGTGAGTTTGGTAGTGGATTAAATGTCCTTTGACCAGTATCTGGCCACTTGGAGTGATGGATTAAAAGTATGTTCACTTGAATAAGATTTCACTTCTGCTAACTGCTTTCACCTGGATTATATCCTTTTTGTATGGGAGGTTTCATGACATTCCTAGGTTATAGCTTAAAGAGTCATAGAGGGCTATACTGGGGAAGAGGATAGTGAAACTGGGACCACGCCTTGACTGCATTGAAAGTACTTTCCTCTTGCTTAATGCTACCTTTGGAAAGAGACAGGTCCTTCTCAAGATAATAGCAACATTTTGAGGAATAAAAATAAATGACAAATGTTGCTCTTTTACAGAAAATTCCAAGAAACACCTGATATATAAGTTGTTCATCAGAACCAACTGGAAACTCCACCACATTCTTATTAGTAGCATGTAAATTATGAGCTGAAGTCAAGCATACAACATTTATCCCAAAGCGGTCCTACATTTTTAACAGGCATCTTACATATGTTGCAAATAAACAGCGCCATATGTGAGTTTTGACAAGTTTGTATGTACGTCTTGCTTTAGCATTTTTAGTTGACAGGAAATACAAATGTATACATTGTAGCTGTTGCAAGGGGTCATCATCATGGTTGACTGGGGCCAGTCTGGAGTAAAGCACTGGATTAAGCAGCCAGTGTAGGCTATCATGTGTTAGGCTATCATGTGTTGAAGCTACTACCTGGATATAATCTTTCCATTTGATATAAGTAACTAAGAGTGGTTGCTAAAGCATAAAACACATAATAATAGTAGTAATAATAATAATAATAATAATAATAATAATAATAATAATTTTATTTCTTACCCATCTCTCCTTGTGACCTGAGGTGGGTTATAGCATAATTAAAACCCATAAACATTGTAAAAATTCTATAAATACACATATTAAAATGTATTTCTATAAAATACATATTAAAATACACAGAACGGAGCTTGAACATTCTCTGTTTAAAATTAATACAAAACTGGCTGGTTAGGCCTCCCAGAAGAGATAGGTCTTTAGTTGGTTTTTAAATTTTGAGAGGCTATTTCACAGTCTTGGGGTGGCCGATGAAAAGGTCATCTGGGTGACAGTTGGGTTCTGGCTATTAGGAGCAGCAGCCCCCCCAGAGGACCTCAGTATTTGGGGCAGTTTGTACGGGAGAAGGGAATCCTGTAGGTTTATGCTCCAAACTTAAGTCCCCAAGTTACAAACAATATAGGTTCTGTAGGTCAGAGGAGATACATTTTAAAAGTGTAACCCAGTCACACTCTCTCTGCTTGGTGTTTCTTTTGCTGTCTGTGCCCCTGTTTAGAAGATTTCACCTCACTTTCTGTCCCTGTGATAATTGGATTCTGAAAAATTTGGCTTGTTGTGGAAACAGGGATTGGTGAGAAAACTTCACTCTTTCCCCATGATAACTCTTCCAGGAGTGAATTTCCCTTCCTAGGGGTAGATTACTCTCACTTCCTATTGTCTCAGCCCTGTTCTTAACTATGAGTTGTTTGTAACTCAAGGACTGCCTGTATAAACATGAACAGTTGGATTACTCTTGGAAATGCAAACAAATGACAAAAGGGATAGAACTGATTACTGCTTCCATTTTAAGGAGCTTCATAAACATGTCTACTCACATATTCTTCGCTAGTATAAGAGGGTTAGTTCTTCAATTGAGAAGCTAATCTGAATGCTTTTGTGCCTTTGTCTCCATACCATTAACTGAGAATCCCATTGTCTTATGTTTTATGCTATGATCTATATACACTATATTACTATAACTTTGCTTGTCTCAAAATACAAGTTGTAGGAAGCTGAATCAAGAACAATGAAAATGTGCTTTTCATCAGGTGTGTAAATGATTATATGCATGTAAAAGAGCAAAGAATATTGTCAGATGTGAAAAGATGAGGGAAGTAACCGCTGTAACAACCAGGTGGATTCAGTGCGGATAACATGGTAAATCTTCCACAGTAAGCAGTAGGAATGTGTGTGTAACACCCAAAGCCTGACTCTTCTCTTAATGTACAGGTACCCTACTGTGATGTGCTTAACACATCCATAGGTAAACACTCCTCAGAAGGTAAAGGCTGAGCACCAAGGCAGCCTTACTACTTGGCAATGCTAAAATATCTTATTAAGTGGAGGCTGATGGCCAATCGAAATGCAAAGCAGGCCACTGTCAGATTATTCCTCCACAGAAGTGATTGCCCTCTGAATGGGAGACAGAAGGTATTACTACTTCAATTACCTATTTCAATTAATACAAAGTCTGTAGGCAGTTTCACACAGCAGTATGAGCTGCCATAGTGCCTTAATGACACTGAACTTACAGTAAGGCAGTATACAAAGGGAAACAGGAACAACTGATTTCACATATTTTTAAATGTAAAACTGGGAAAATACTCTTGTATTATAGTAAAAATGTGCTATCCTGAAATAATTGGAGCTAAGATTTAAGGATTTCAAAAAAACTTTTGGACAAGATGCTCTACAATTTCAATCAGAATCCATGTTTTAATAGCAACACAATGCCACTCCCAATACAGATGCTCTTTGAAAAATACTGTTTTTGTACCAAGGTCCTTAAATAGTAAGTTTCAATGCGGTCTTAAAATATAGAGTCTACGAAGCCCTATTAAACTCGAATGAAAATGTCCTTTTTATTTATCAGAGGTGTGAATGCACAAAATCCTTAGTGGTTTGCTTTAGACTTTGTAAAAAAGCAAGAATCGGAGTCAACATTTTCACCATCTCTAGTTTGGCAGCTTCTATGTCTACAGGAGGGTGAAAGGTCAGACTGTACTATAACAGAATAAAAGTATCTGTGTGCTACTTTGAATGCTTTCCTGTAAGTAAAAGAAATTGAGAAACCAGTTGTTGGAATTTTGAACATTAAGCTATTCTTCAAAATATCGTGTTTTTGTAATCTTTCATTAAAAAAATCAATTCTTTTATCCAAATTTAGGCAGCTGCATCATAATATAATCCCAAATTTGGTAATGCCATTCCACCTCTCTCTCTTGAGTCTTGCAAATTCTTCATTGTAATTCTAGGTGTTTCTTATGTTTCCAAATGAATTTAGTCATTTTTTTATTTCAAGTTTTAAAAGTGATTCTTTAGACACAATTGGTAATGTTTGGAATAAATATAACACCTTTAGGTAGTATGTTTATTTTGGTTGTCGATATATTATTTCCAATAGGGACAACTCTAGTTTGCTCCATCTTTGTAAATCTTTTTAGACATTCTTTCATAATTGTTTTTAAATAAGTTCGAGTTTTGTTTATCAAATAGATTGCCAAATATTTTCTTTTCTTTACTGTTATCTATTTTTACCTCTTGCGGCAGTTATTTGATTCTTCTTGCTCATGTTATATATCATAATCTTTGTCTTGTGTTTTATAAAACTTTCTAGAAGCGTTAATATGATATCACATTATGTTAAAACATTTGCAATGTGATTGATCTAATGCAATTGCTTGTTTTAACTAGGAAAGGTCCCTTAAATTAATAGGAACTTGCTTACTTATGTAATTAATTCAATGCATCTAATCAAGCTGGAACTCACAATTCCATTTATGTCTCTGTAATTTTATGATCTCATTGTTGCTCCATCTTGGATGGACATGGTTCAAATAGATAATCTATGAATAATTTTTTAAAAGTTATATAACCATTACTACACTAGTAGAAAGGATTCAGATTCTAAGTCAACATATTCTCTATTACTGTAAGGATTTTAGTTTTCAGATACAAAAGGAAACCTTCAAAATGCAATTTCCCTAACCGGGCATCTGCACTGGTACAGCAAGACAAGGAGTCTTCCATGCTCAGTCTAATATTTAATGGTAACATTTTACCTTATATCTATAAGTTCTACTTTTATTCTATAGAACAGCTCATTTATAGTAAACAAAGCAAGACAAAATATGTCACTCTAGTCCTAGCAATGAAAGGCAATCTCACAGCAACCTCCTCCCAGCGTGATTTTCTTGACAGCTAGCATGGTATAGTGGTTTGAGCATTAGACTATGACTTCGGAGAAAAGGGTTCGAATCACTTACTTGGCCCTGGAAACTCAGTGGGTGACTCTGATCAAGTCACATTTTCTCAGCCTCAGAGGAAGGCAAAGGCAGAACCAGCTCTGAACAATGACAGGTTTACCTCAAAGTTGCCATAAGGTGGAAATGACTTGAAGGTGAATAATACACAACTAACTTGGATATCATGCTATTAGAGCAATTATAGGAGCACTCTTGATAAGCCTATTTATGTGTACTTATACTGTGTCAATGTATGCTAGGTAAAAGTAAATGTTTCCCCCTAACATTAAGTCTAATCGAGTCCGACTCTGAGTGGTGGTGCTCATCTTCATTTCTAAGCCAAAGAGCTGGCATTGTCCATAGACGCCTTTTGGTTCATGTGGCCAGCATGACTGCATGGAGCACCGTTACGTTCCTGCTGAAGTGGTACCTATTGATGTACTCACACTTACATGTTTTCAAACTGCTAGGTTGGCAGAAGCTGGGGCTAACAACGGAAGCTCACCCCATCCCACCAATTCGAATCGCATGCACTAGACATATACACTACAGTAGTTATCAATACCAAACTAGATGACTGATCTTGAAAGAGTGTATACTATACCTGACATATTCTAATTGACTGGTCCAACACTGTTTTGGTATCAGTGACGTAATCTGGGCATGGCAGCGAAGCGTGTTCAAAATGGGCTTGCATTAAAAGGTGGGTTTTTGTATGTGCACTGTCAAAAGAATGTGGATTAACTTCAATGGGGACACATTTCGCCAATTCACTGTTCATTTGGTCTTCATTGTGTCGCACCGGGAGGTCTGCATATTCTTCAGCATCCTTAAAGGAAAAAAAGGAGATATTTATTTAGTGCAAAACAAATAAAAAACCCAATCACTTGGAGGGACAGAACATAGCAGAATTTTGTAGAATTTCTTTTCCTTTTTAAAGTTCCCGAAACCTGTTGTTACAGCACTCATTTAGTTTGGAATACACTCCAGCCTGACATGTGATGTGCAGCAAAAAAGGCTGGGACTTGAAACAGAAGCTGTTTCTACAGCACAAAATTATAGCAGTTTGATATCACATTAACTGCCGTGCCTTAATACTATGAAGTTCTGGGATTTGTAGTTTTGTGGGCTATTTATCATTTTCTATAAAAGAGCTATGGTGCCACAACAAACTACATATTCCAGTGTCCCAAAATGTTATAATAATTAATGGTATGTGGGATCCAGTTAGGAATTACTTAGTGTTACTATGGACTACATTTTCCAGAATCCATGCTGGCTCCAGGGATCTGTGGTCCTGAAAAAGTAACTCTTCAAAGCTCCAAGGCTGCCCGCCCCATAAGCACAGGTAAAATTGTGATAAATGTGTGCAAACAGAAATGTCTCTCCTCTTCCTCCACCAGCGTCCTTGCACCAATGGCAGTGTTATAGATTTATATGCACTGAACATAATGGACAACTTCATACTGGGGCTTTTTATGAATGTATGAAGTTCTGTGGTGCACTTGGGGTCACAGGAGGCCTAGGGAATGGAGCTGCACAACACATCCTTACTTTACCCTACATATGTATTGTATCATTGTTTCGTTTTATTATATCCTGCCTTATTCTCAAAATAAATACAAATACAAATAAAAAGACATGTAGCTAAAAACATGCATAAAATATTTTCAAACACTTCTGAAGTGAAATGCTTTCTTAGGTGTAACTCTGGATACATTAAAGTTTATATACAGTGCATCTATTCCGACACAATTAATGTAATTGGCACCACTTTAACTGCCATGGCTCAATGCTATGGCATCATGGAAATTGTAGTTTTACAAGGTCTTTAGCTTTCTTTTTGCAAAGTGTGCTGTCCCTTCACCAAACTACGACTCTCAGGATTCTATAGCATTGCATCCTGGCAGTTACAGTGGTGTCAAACTCCGTTCATTCTACACTGTAGAATGTCAGGTTTTGTATTTTTTTTTCAACTGTCAATTTTGATGTGCTGCCTACAAACCTGTAATGAATTAAATGGGTGAAATACAATGTATGCCACAATCAGAGTAGACCCAAGAAAATCAATCAGGCATATGTGATTGTTAACGAACAGGCCCAATTCATTTCAACAGGCTTACCCTAGTTGGAATAAGCACTGGACTTAGTTGAAACGTTCACACAGATGAGGCTGAATTGTTAAGCATTAAAACAACACTTTAAGAAAATCTAAAGACAAAACCTAAGTATTATAAAAAAGTTTCAGGCTCTTTGAAAAGGTTCCTCCAGCCCCCAAAGAAGACTGACTGAAGACAACTGCTAACTAATCCTTGATGTTTCTGCCAGATCTCTTGTGAAAACTGCGGTCATTTATTTTCTGAACCTAAAGGTCATCACCATTTTAAGCCCTATAGAATTCTGCATGTTTGCCTTGCTCCTATTTAACTTGCATCCTTTTAACAATATTTTAAGGAATATTTACCAAGGAGATTTCCCCCCCTTCTTCCACCCAATATGGCCTAGCAGCTACAACCAGCAGACAGACTGGGAGGCTGGAACAGTAGAAGGGTCGGGTCAACAGAGTAGCCGCAGCTTAACTGGTATTTTTGGAAAAAAGAAATACCCTTCCACCCTGTCCCCCTCCCTTCTGCAAAAAGCAACCTGTTTTATTTACTTCCAAAACCCTCCTCCTGTTTCAAACAACTTGCCTACTTCATTTCCTGTGTGTGATGGATGATTGTAAGTGAAGTTCATTTTCTTATCTGCATCATGTAAGTAATTAAAGGAAATTGAGAATGGGCACTGGAGCTTTTATGCATCTGGGAATGAAGCTGAATGAAGGGCACCAAGGTCAGAAGAGTCCATTATAGTTTTATGTGAGAGGCCGGTCTGTCTGCCCTGTCCCTGTTTGTTTAGTGTAGGCAGGACAGACTATAACTGCAAATCTGTGCTTCTGATTTGCCCAGCTGTCCTTCAATAAAGACGTCTTCCATTGCAAATGTTAAATGACAGTGATTGACAACCCTATGATGAACTCTGCTTGTAACCCCCTGCTACTGTTTTCAGATTGCACAAAGACAGGGAGAATAAAGAAACATCCCTCATAATCAAATCAAATAGGCCCTGCTGTTCATTCAATATTTTCCATTTTCGTTTCCCTTTTCAGTACAAACCTCACTCTGCTTGGTAAATGTCGTGGACTCCATAATGCCAATCTATTTTCTGCTGTGTTTTTCTCCCCTCTCCTCTTGTATTTATTCCCACAAAGAAGTTGCATAACACTATTGCAGCATCACTTTCAAAAACAGTAGCATCAAATCTCACAATTTTGAAGAACTATTGATGAATACACAAGGTCTTTGTATTTTATTGGTTGTTGTTTTGGGCCCAATATGCAGCTCCTTCACTGAAGCACAGTAAAAATAAATGTAATGTGTTTCAGAAGAGCTGGTTGCAAAATCTAATGAAGTTGGAAGTTTTGTCACATATTTCCGTGATAGTACCCTCTTTTGGCCAAGAGGAAGCATTGTGGAAGAATGGCTAAGGGACTGAAGAAAGGTAAATAGATTTTAGTGTTCATGTACTAGCCTCAAGTCTCCTTGGTTAATGCTCCTCCTGAATCTTCAACAATGTTTCTCATCCTACTTCTGACAAGTTCAATGAAATCCTGTATTAAGGCTATGAATTGTACAGTACCCCACAAATCATACTGTGCAGCTTTTTCGTGTTGTAAATATTGACAACTTCCTCTATCATCTAGACCACACAATCCATCATTCTTTTTCAGAGGTTTCTAAGTAACGGGAGCAAAGAGGTTGTATTTGGAATCATCACACACCTGCAAAGAAAGCATCAGGGTCTTTTCTTCATTCCAGTTACCACTCTTCAGCTTGAAGAGTGTCATAAGTTATGGTTACCCATGTCTCCTTTCATATGGATAAAAGATTCTGTTAGGCTCCATTTTGTTCAGCCTGACAATTTTCTCAGATTTTCATGCACATTTCTGAAAAGACACATATTTGTGCATGCATTTTCCAAAAGTATGCTTGTCTTTGAAAGGGCTAGGCACCATTTCTATTTATTTCACCAAAATTTCAACTGTGGGGTGTTTTTTTCTAGCAAACATAAAAATTAATTTGGGGTACTTAATTCAGATTTACACTACATTCTAGGTTCTAAATATTTAGAAGCTGGTGTTAATATTTAGGCAACAAAACTTTTAATAGCATACTAAGGTTGTGGCTTGAGGAGGAATTGCTTGGATGTAAGCTCCAGAGAACAGGAGATGAATTTCTAAATATATTTCTTTATACTGTAAGGCCAACCCTATGCGGAATAACTATGTAAAAAGTTCTATTGAATTCAGTAATACCTCTAAGTAAATATGCATTAAACTGAGTTGTGAATAACTTGATAGAGCAGATGACTAAAGAAAGTCATATTGATGTTAAAACTTAAGTTCAGTGAACTAACAGAGAACTAACAGAGCCTTTAAAGTTAATGAGTTCTAGACTTCTTGGACTGAGCTGATTAATTTGTAACATGAAAGGTCTTAAAGCATACCAAATTAGTTTTTCACATTCCTAGAAGTTGTTTTCACTTTCCAAAGGTCCAAGTAGTTCTCTTCACCAGGAGAAGAGTATTGCACTGGCAAACATGAGGTTTCATTTAAAGATGTTTCACCTAGAAGTTCAAGCTAACACAAGTAATAGATGTATGCAATTTTAGCAGTAGAACTTGACTAAAATGTTGATCATAGAGAAAAGAAGATTATGAACATGTATAAGCAGTGTGCTATTAATCCCAGAGGTAATATGCTGCTTTTAGGGATGTTTAGGCTTTCAAATCTACCTCATCTTTAATAGATGTTTGTTTCCCCTTCTTTTGAAATGTGGCAAATCAACAGAGTTGAATGGATATCTGCTACAGCATTCCACTTTTTTCCCTGACTTTTGTAATAGTGCTACAAGCCATTTTCTTTCTTTTTGTTTTGACAAGTTGTGATGCATCATCAAACCTGAGCCAAAACACTACGAAAGAACTAGAAGAGTTAAGCACTCAGCAGAGGACAAGGTAAGTGCTACTTTATCTAACATGGAGCTTCACTAAAGGCAAAGCATATTAAGAGAGAACTTTGGAGAGAGTAAATCTGTAACATTTTACCATTTCTCAACTCGCTCGTGCTGAGATACTAATCTCAAAACACAGCCTACCAAAGTTTACACCAGCTGAGACATCTGGTTGGACTGTATTAATCTTGGCAGTGCATAACTGTTTACTGTAATTGGTTACAAAAACAACTAGGAAGCTGTATATTTGTACGGTCTTTACTGTAGCTCACTACTATGTAAACACAGTGGAATACTTGTGACTAAGCACTGAAAAAAGAATAAGGAGCCAGTCAAAGTAAGCACCTGGGTGAGTTCAACAACAAGGCAAGGGAGTGTATGGACTTAAATAACATTAAAACAAACCTCATCACAGAGAGGCACACAACTTAAGAGTATCTAGCCAGTAGGACATCATGATGCTAATGTTTTCCACTGAGTTTCACATACATAATAAAAGTTCTCAGGGAAGAAAGTTGTTCTTTGAAAGGCTAAGCCATCTGTACTAGAGAATCAATGGTAGATATGTATATCTTCAAAATCTGTTTGTGCTATCTCACCCCGATATTACCCATTGCGCAGTTGTGGACAATGAGAACTTTGGAAGGGAGGTTCTCAGGCTGAGGAAAAAGGAAACAGTCATTAAAAGGAACATAGAACTTGTGTTTCCAGGATATTCAACCAATATTCCTTTGTGTGAATGATATGCCCCTGGAGGGGTGCAGCGTTCTATTAGTGC